CTGACTTATAATACAGAAAAAAAAAATTCTTTGGACAAAGATCATGTTCAATAGAAATTTGCATGAATTTCATACACAAAGTCAGGTCTGTTTACTTAAATTTTAGCAAAGAACCTGACAAAAACAAGTATACCATATGGTTTCCAAGGGGCGAACTAAGTTTCTGAACTCAAATTGATGTAAACATCTTGTTTACAAAATGATTATTATATTAAAGTATGATCTACAATCATGGACCAAAGTTGAAAATACAATATAGATAACATGACAAGTCAATAAGTAAAATATCAATAAGAAAAATTATACACATGTTGATGTTGACAAGCCTGTAGATCATGAGTGAAACTATGTTCCTGAATAAATTATCCAACAACTTTTGTTTATGTAAAGACTACTTATGAAATTGCTTTTTTGTTTTCTTGGCAAACAGATATAATTAAAATGGAAAGAAAGAACATATATCTAAAAACTCCCCATTTTTTCATTTTATTCGAGGTTGACTTTTATTTCTTTCATATACTTTGCATTCAGATTGAAATCCACACATTGAGATGTGCCATTTTAGAGATCTCATTGATGAAATCTTCTATAGTTTTTGTATTCAATTATACATTGGAAACACATGAACCATTCATTTAAGTGCATTATAGGTGATTTGTTTTGTACCATTCTTTTTTATCAGCATTTTAGTCATTAGCTTGTTTTATAGTATATTTCACTCTGCATAAATATATTTCATTTTTACCTTTTTATTTTATTATTTCTTTTTAATTATTTTTTACTTTATTTTTTCTGTATCATACACAGACAATGAAAGTTTTTATGTAATTCAGTGAATTGGTCGCAGATTTCAACATTTGTTTGACATAGAAAATATTTTGCATCCTTAAGGTCAGTATTGGGAAATGTATATAAAGAAAATTACTGTATATACTCACTTAGGGTTAAGTCCAATTGCAAATAACAGAAATTGGCAGATCAAAGTCTGTTGTTTAAAATTCTACGGATTATTCCGTATAAACTGCATGGACCCAGATCTGCAAGCACATTATACCAGTAGATCTGGGTCTGTGCAGTTTGTGGTTGGATATAATGAGCAAGTATATCTTGTAGTGATTTGTTATTATACTTATTTTGCTTACATAGATGGAGAAGTGCCACTACACTGTATTTAACTGTATTGTAAAGAACTATTTAAAAAATTGTTGTTTATATAATGATTAGAATATTAAACATTGATAATAACTTAGTGTATATTTAGAATAATGATATTTGTATACATTTGCATATTGTAGTAAATTAGTAAATTGTTTCATGATATAAATGTTGTGGAAACAGTTGTTTTAAATCTTTATTCCAAAATCAATTTTTAGCATGACACTTTTTTTGTTCTTAATTATATAAGGTGACTTTGTTTTGCCACAAAATGAATCCTAAATCATCAACTTTATTTTGTTCAAATTTTGGGTGTCTCTTGTTTTGTGAATTAAAAATAATATTGACAATATTATATGACATACTAAAGTTGAAAATCATACATTCTTCAGATTGTAAACAAGTGGTGTGTCCTTTCATTTTTTTTGGTGTTGCTTTTTTCAATCTATCATATTTTACAATGTGGACCAGTTTTAGGTCCAGCACTTTGGGACACCTGGTCAAAAGGCCAAGTAAATCTATGGCATGGCCATTGGTCCAATAATTGTTATGCATCATCCATTCACATTTGCTATTTATATTATTTGCAACAACATCTCAACAAATCTGAATGAAGACATTCTAGCATGATCTCAAATAATATGGATGCACCATGAAATATGGCTGTCATTGCTGAAGATAGAAAGACATGAAAAATATAGAAATTCAAAACAGACCAGTTTCATAGTAAATATAATGCATACTGTTCAGACAGTTCAAAATTATTCAAATCCAACATCAAAAAAAATGTATGGCTACTGTTACTTATGACTTCAGCTGAAAGCCATTGAACAAACTTCGATAGATAGCATTTGGCATGAAAATCTGTCAGATTTGTCAAGCCTTCCCTGAAAGCTGAACACTATTTAAATAACTTCTCAAAAACTTCTCTAATCAGGTAACTCCACTGTTAAATGTGGCTGCCTTTGCTAAAAGTAGAGATACATTTAATAACCTTTCATAAACTGCTTTTTTAGTGCTGACACAATGCCCTTCACAGTAGCCAGCCCTGGCAGCCATCAGATGATAGTAATCAAACCATATATTTTCATTTATGATTTTGGCATACTGACCACTGTACCAGTACAGCTCCTCCAACAGAGAAATTCACAGTGACCTACATTTGACATGTAATTAGGTTAGATTTTTGCAATGACTTGTGCATAATCTTTCTTGCATGCCATGTACATCCTATCTATAATCAAGAAACTTTATTCATATATACATCTTTATGAGCACTACTAATTCTATGCAGAAGTAAATCAATATGGCCCATATTTTATGTTTCAGTGACTTTAGTTAAATTTTGTACTTGATCATTTCTCAGGGACTCTTCATGCTAGAATCATCAAACTGATTAGGATATGTATTTTTGCAATAGCTTATAGTGACCTATATTTCATGTTGTACTGGTTTTGATATTGCTAATACATATGTCTCAGACATATGTATTGTTTCAGGTCCAAACTTAAATTTCATAATCAATGGCAATGCTACAGTACTAAGAAGACAGTATGGAGTTTACAAATGTGTGACTGTTTTCTTTACACATTATTTTATAGTTTGCTGATTTTATATCAGTTAGACCTAAATATGTACAGAAGCATAATCATGATAGGTAGATACCATAATGAAAGGGAGATAAATTCATGTCCATAATGTTCCTTAACACATGGTCATATCCAAGTCAATATAATATGAAATAGGGGTCATATCAAAGTCAATATAATATGAAATAGTGGTCATATCAAAGTCAGTATGGTATGGAATAAGGGGTTATATCAAAGTCAATATGGTATGGAATAAGGAGTCATATCAAAGTCAATATAATATGAAAAAGGGGTCATATCAAAATCAATATAATATAAAAAAGAGGTCATATCAAAGTCAATATAATATGAAATAGTGGTCATATCAAAGTCAATATGGTATGGAATAAGGGGTCATATCAAAGTCAATATGGTATAAAATAGGAGTTATATAAATGTCAATATGGTATGAAATGGGTCATATTTAAGTCAATATGGTATGAAATAGGGAAAAATATAAATGTCAACATGGTATGGAATATGGGTCATATAAAAGTCAACATAGCTTGGAATAGGGTCATATCAAAGTCAACATGGTATGGAATAAGGGTCATATAAAAGTCAATATGGTATGAAATAGGGGTCATATCTAAGTCATCATGGTATGGAATAGGGGTCATATAAAAGTCAATATGGTATAGAATTAGGATCATATAAAGTCAATATAGTATAGAATATCGGTCATATAAAGCCAATATAGTATGAAATAGGGATCATATAAAGTCAATATAGTATGTAAAAGGGGTAATATAAAAGTCAACATGGTATGTAATAGGGAACATATAAAGTCAATGTAGTATGAAATAGGGGTCATATAAAGTCAATGTAGTATGAAGTAGGAGTCATATAAAAGTCGACATGGTATGGAATAGGAGTGATATAAAAGTCAACATGGTATTGAATATGGGTCATATCTGGGTCAACAAAGCCTTTTATATCAATCAATCACAGCTCCAAATAATATGTTGGATATTCATTCAGTCCACAGCATTTGTAGTCAGTCCCAGAAACCATCACTCCAACACTGATCATCTTACTGGGAAAGTTAACTCCAATAGAGCTCAGGATTGCATCTTTTATTCAATTTTGTAAGTCACTACACAACTGTGAAATTTCCAGGATACTTAAAATTCAATGCTTTAAAGTTTTTTGATATTAAAGTAACATAGATGTCTGCTTTGTATCAGTAAAATGTACATAGGTCTGGTAAAGTGTAAAAATTGAGAGTTTGCTTTAAAAATAATACTTGCTACTCTGTTTTTACTGTACCTTAATAGCAAACCACTATCAGGATATACCATCTAACCTGTCAAGAGTGGACACCTTTTGGAAAAAAGCAAAACTGGCCTTTGTTCTTAGGTGACTTTTGTATGGAGAATCAGTTTTCATACTTGGTTTAAGAAGAAATATGATTCACTTAATACTAGAATCATTGTTGTTGTTGTTATTATTATTATTATTATTATTATTATTATTATTATTATTATTATTATTATTATTACCAGTAGATTTAATTTATACATTATTTGACCAAATCACAAAATGAATGTACATGTTGTTCTCTTCTATATTTATATTCCACATAGATTACTATATTCCATTCAGTTGAGTCTTTCTAGAAATGAAAGGATCAGTGATTAACAGCTTAGATATGGTTGGGAAAGAAAGAACAGTCTCAGTTCTTAATAAAACTTTGAAACTCACACTTAAAACACACATCGCATGACACACTTAAGACATGTATCACACACTTAAAACACAAATCATATAACACACTTAAGACATGTATCACACACTTAAAACACACATCGCATGACACACTTAAGACATGTATCACACACTTAAAACACACATCGCATGACACACTTAAGACATGTATCACACACTTAAAACACAAATCATATAACACACAACACAAATCATATCACACACTTAAAACACACATCATATCACACCTAAAACATATCATATCCATATCTTGGTTTACCAAATTGCATAATATGGCTTAGAAAATTACTCTTAAAACAAAAATCATATCAATGTCTTTGTTACATGATTTGAAAGATTCAACCTACATGTGGCCTCTGATGACTAGGGAATGAAAAGATGCTTAAGGAATCAGCTATTTTACTTTAGCTTAGGGAGGGGGCAAGGACTTTCTTTCCAACAGGGGATACGTTTTTTCACCTTGGGATAATTCTTTCTTTCAGCTAAAACTGCTCTGGTGGCCTAGTGGTTATAGTGTCCACCTTGGATGTGGGAGGTTGCAGGTTCAAACCCCGGCTGAGTCATACCAAAGACTTTTAAAAATGGTATTAACAGCTGCGTTTGGCGATCAGAATTAAGAGGTTAGTGTTAGGACTGGTTGGCCTGGTGTCAAGATAATGTGACCTGGTGGGACATCTTGCCACATGTTTGCAGCATGATGCCCCAGTGCTAGACAGCACTATAAACTTTCACATTGCAGACATCATAGCGAGATGACTGAAAATTGTTAAAGCTAAAATCTAAATCACACACACACATTCTTTCAGCCAATATAGTTGATATGTTCTTTCTTCCATAAATCAGAGCAAGAATATTTTTTCAAGCTATTTGTGGGACAGAAAATTAAATGGTCAGTCCCAAATATAGTTTGTTTTGTAATATATAAAGCAAAATCTTTTAGAGGTAAGTTTTGTAATTATTGAATGACCCCAGAACCTAATGAAATTGTATCTCTCATCAAAGAAAAACTTTTTCATCAGATGTAAAAAAAATTAACATTCAAACAGCACCTGTCACATCTTATTTCTGCTTTGACTAGACAACTTTCTCCCATCATCCAGCAACCAAATTACTTGCCCCTCTCCAATGATAAGAGGTCAAGGTCAGTGCCAATGAAGGAAAAAAATGGTTTGCTGCACAATAAGTATAATTCTGCTGCAAAATAACATTAGCTCCATATCCCAGACTACCATATCCCAGACTTCCATATCCCAGACCAGGTCCAAACTTTTTCATGATTAGGATAATTAGGAAGTCTTCCAGTTTTGTTGTTAAAATGTCAAGGTCACTGATTGAAAAGAGAAAAATGGTTTTCAAAGGTCGAGTTATCTGTATAGAAGACTGTTAAACATGTGGCAAATGGGTATGTTCCATTCATGGTACTCAGTTTTTGTGTTCAACTTCCTTATTAGACTGGCAAAAAATGGGTATATGTTTTATTCTGGCATACAATGTCATGCTTTTTATTTTGAAAGTCATATCAATACATCCTAATTCTGTTTGATGGAGAGACATGAACAAGACATTAGATTCTAAGTTTTAATATAAGTTGAAGTTGTATCAGTATATTCCTACTTGTTCAATGGAGAGATATATAGTTAGATTTTAAGTTTTAATGTAAATTAAAGTTGTATTAATACACATCTGTAGCAGCTTTTATGGTTTTCAGCACAATATTGTATGAAAATGGTATACATATAGACCAGTGATTGGAATCACATCATTTTATATTATACACAAAATAAATAAAATTAATTGTCAAGTGTTGCATTTTCTCTTTTTTTGTTGTCAAAATTGTGGTGGAAGCATAGACAGATGGTAGCGATGGCAAAGGCTATAGTATTTTAAAAATTGCCCATGTGTTTAAATCTGTTCAGTATTGTCTGTAAGTTCATCTGTTCTAGTATGGTTAGAATGTTATTATATGGACATCAGGCCAAGTGATCTTATGGTGTGGCTGGGTGTCCACAACATGTCATCTGTCAACATTGCAATTTTCTTCCTCTTAAGAAAACACCAGACCAGTTTCAACCAAACTTCCTGGAAGCTTTCGAGGTTTGTAAAAATTATGTCAGTCGGCCATCAAATATGATGGTCATTACTAAAACAAATAAATTTAATGATGTCTTCTCAAAAACTGCTGCGCAAAGTTTCACATATTTTTATGGAAAGCAACATGAGTAGTTATTGGAGGCTCTTGGGGTCCATGTTATTTATCTCATAGACCATAATGTGAAAGGCACTTGGGGGTCATGCAGGAAATCTTATGATAAATCAGTCCATAGGTTTAATATAGGCATCACACTTGGAAACATGGGAATGGCACTTGGGGGTCAATTAGAATTTGACAGAGGATAACCACTCTGAGGAAAGGGGGCCCATGGATTTTTCCAATGCCAAAAGTTCAAGAAGCATTTGGGGTCATACAGCAAATTCAATGGTAAATTGGTCCATTGGTGTAACTTGGAAATGACATTTTGTGTTTGACCACTCTGGTGTCCTTAGTGGTTAGAGCATCAGATGTGGAGGTCACTGGTTCGAACCACAGCCGAGTCATATCAAAAACTCATAAAAATGGTAGTAACAGCTGCATCATTAGGTGCTCAGCATTCAGAGCTTAGTGTTAGGACTGGTTGGCCTGGTGTCAGGATAATGATTTCCCACTGCTAGACATCACTATGTACTGCCACACTGCAGACATCATAGTGATATGACTGAAAAATTGTTAAAGTTACATTAAAAATCAAATCACATATGCACACACACACACACACATTTTGATGTCAACAAAAATTTGTAAATCAAACAGGTTGCAGAGAGAATTTTGGCAATACTGAAATAGTATATTTTTTTAAGGCAAATGAGTAACTCTGAAGAGGGCCATTGGAGTTTATTAACCGAAGTAAGTTAACATATGTGACATCTCACTGGCCTTCATCTCATCCTCAAACTCTATCTCACAGTGGGGCCTTACAATGAAATACACTTGAGACAGCCATGCCTTTCTACATAGATCCTTTCACAAATACCTTTGTCCATCATCTTGGTGATGACCGGTGCTGATTTCACATGGATTGGGTAGTCTGGGTTGAACAGTATCCCTAATATTAGCATAGATGATTCTTTATGTGTGGGCCTCTCATAAGCTTCCACCTATGTTACCTGGTTTCTTTTTAGTTAGTCCCACCATGTGGCCAAAAGTTTTTAAAGGATTTTATATGTTTATATTGCCTGCTTAAATTAGTAGTATTATTATTCTGTAAAAAAAAAAAAAAAAATAAAAGAATTTGGATTTAACAATTTATTATGAAATATCTTGGAATTTGGCATTGATCTTTGTCCTAACGTTTGGGGGTTTGTTTGTTGGTACTTATTGGGGTACCTGGTCTGGTTCTTCAATGTTCCTGAGATCTGAAGGTTGAGATTGGGGACGTTGCTTACTTTCTGCTATAGACACATTCTTAGGGCCAGTTTTCCCCCATCTGCTTTCACATTTATGGGGCATAGTTTGAAGGTCTCCCTGCTGTCATATGTATATATACATATGTATGCTGTATATTTAGTGTTACATTGTGTGGATGTATTGTGTATGCTGTATGTTTAGTGTTACATTGTGTGGATGTATTGTGTATGCTGTATGTTTAGTGCTTCATTGTGTGGATGTATTGTGTATGCTGTATGTTTAGTGTTACATTGTGTGGATGTATTGTGTATGCTGTATGTTTAGTGTTACATTGTGTGGATGTATTGTGTATGCTGTATGTTTAGTGTTACATTGTGTAAATGTATTTGTATATGCTGTATGTTTAGTGTTACATTGTGTAGATGTATTATGTATACTGTATTGCATAGAAATGAGATACTACTCAAAGATTGCCAAATCAACTAAAACATAAATCCCTTTTCCCATGATTGAATGATGTACATGTGTGAGTGTGTTCTGATTAATAGCCTATACAAATCAAGACCAAGTGTCACTTACTTTTTTTCTTTCAGCTGTATTCTCTTTTTAAGTCAAAATGAACATTTCGCAATATATGGTTAAAGTCCATCTTTTCTTCTTTCACTTTCAGCCTCTCCATTGAATTTCTTCACCTGCACAGGTTCTTCCTCTGCTGCTTTTCTTGGCCTGGATTTCTTGCCTTTCTTGACAGCAATGAGTTCTTGATATTTAGAACTCCTATCTTTCTTCTCCTTATTCACTTCACTTCTTTTGCATCTTCTCATCTTCTTAGGGCAAACTGAAGAGCAATGTCCTTTCTCCTGACAATGATAAAAAGCTTCCTGACTTGTTTTAATGTTGCGTGGACATTCTGTAGCCCAATGTACTTTCCCCTGACAGATATAATAAATATCTGGAGTTATAGCTCAATAGGAGGAATAGTCTGTCGTCTTCTCTGAAGTATACTTTTGTATGACTCTTGGCAAATCTTTTGCTAACAGGTCGATCTGTGCTGACTCTTCCATCTTCTTGATCGTTAGAGAACTGAATGAATGTTGTCTCTGACACTCTGAGTTATAACAATTTATATATATAAAGAGAGAGAGACCTGCTGTGTGTGAAACCTAGGCAAACAAAATCTGCATAATCAAGAGGAAATGGTTCCAGTGAGAAACTAGAAAAAAGTAAGAGACAACAATGTGTCGTATTGCTTCTCACACAAGTTGAAATACTAGCTCCAATCCATTCAAGTGATTTCGAAGACGACCTGAGCTAGCCTGAATTGTTGCCATCCACATGTCACAAATCCCAGATTGTCCAAATTCACCTCAAAAGAAATTCATTTTTTACACCTGCTATACAGGTGTTATTTGTTTATGTGGGGAAATAATGTTCTGGCAACATTGCTTAAACATTACACATTAACATAATTTTGGTAGTATTCTGGTCAAAAAATAAAACATTGTTGCCAGAATAATGTATGAATGTTACTTTATGATGTTAAACAACAACACTAGCAACATTCCAGCAAGTTCACCAAATCATGTTGCCACAACATTAAATGACGTTTCCACAACCTTATTGCACTTTCCTGCAACGTTGAATTGTTATCTGTATCTTAAGCGAGTGATGTTTTTGATTAGGTCAGTGACTAAGATGTTTCAGAGCAGGATAATTAGACAAATGCTTCGGGACCACAAGTATAAGAATGACATCCAAACTCAATTTGTTATGCAAGGCAGAACACAGCGCTACAAAACAGAGGTAGAGCAAGTATATGACAAAATTATTAGAAGCCTTCATCAAGCACAAAATTGATGAAATTCACGAGAGAAGGTTCAACATTATTGGGTGTATGTGACAGTCGACAGTATTATTGGAAAACTGGCTCCTGCACCACTTTTATCACTACTTGATAAACAGTGTTCGAGATAGCCCCATCTATCTATATTATTGTGTTATGATAGTTCTGAATCACTTTTACCATGCCATAAGTGTACCACTTTTCTTGGTGAAGGGCAGGGTTAGTCTCGTGTGTCTTTGTTTCTGTGTGCGAGTTTGTAAATGTCATCTGTGGAGCAG